ATGTATGTAATGGTACTTAAGTATACCATTAGATGAAAATGTTAGGTGCACTCTTGTGACCCAAGTTACTGTCATGACAAAATAACTTTCCCATTAACTTCCTAGAGTTCTTTGCCTCTTCTCAGTCAATTACTACCCTTTCTCTGGGGAAGGAAAAGGACAGCCACCATTCTGAATTTCTTCATCATACATTAGTTTTTACTTGTTCTAAAACTTTATAAATACAATCTATGTACTTTATTCATCAGATCCATTCTTGTTACAGATGTTAATTTTTTTATTGCTTTATACTTTTCTGTAAACATCACTGTTTAGCCATTTTCATGTTGATTGACACAGGATGTTTCAAGTTTTTGGCTATTATGAATAAAGCTGTTAACATTTTGAATAAGTGTTTGTGGGCATAATGGTTTCATTTCTTTTGGATAAAAACTGACCAGTGGAATTGCTTTTGGACTAGGTGTATGTTTGGTTTTCTGATAAATTTGCCAGATTATTTTCCAAAGAGATACATTTAATGCTTTTACTAACATTGTGTAAATGGAGTCTCACATGCTTGGCAACATTTGGCATTGCTGGTCGTCTTTTAGCCATTGTGGTGGGTATGTAATTTTCTCATTGTGGTTTTATTTCATATTTCTCTAATGACTAATGTTGTGGATCGTCCCATGGGCTTATTTCTGATTCATATGCTTTCCTTTATTCATATGTCTGATCACATCTTTTAGCTGTTTTTAAATTGACTGTCATTTAATATGGAGTTGTAGGCAGGAGTTCTATATTTAAGTTTTATTCGTTTTTTTGTTTGTTTTGCTTGTGGTACTGGGGATCAAATTCAGGGCCTTGTGCATGCCAGACAAGCACTTTTACAACTGAGCTGTATCCCCCTCCCCCTATCTGCATTTAACTTTTAAAGCTCAATTGTACAAAAGCAGAATAGGGAAGATTTGCTGGTATACATTATTTTCACTTAAAAGGCCTAAAGGTGTGAGTTTGGCAAAAGCACATTCACAATTTGTCTAGCTGATGGTTATGAGTACCAACTATGTACTAAATGTTAGTACTAGGGATAGAGAGATAATACCTAATGTTAGTTCTAAGGAGTCCATAGTTCATGGGGTATAGGGGGGAGACAGACAAAGTAAAAAATTCCAACGTAGTAGTTCAATATTAAACCAGTTGATGAATTTGGGTTTTTTGTTTGCTTGCTTGTGTTTTTGTTTTTGTTGATACTGGAGTTTGAACTCGGAGCTTCGTGTTTGCTATGCAGGCACTCTACTGCTTGGGCCACACTTCTAGCCCCAGTTGCTAAATATTTACTGAGAATTTACTATAAGGTAGTACCAGGGGTATAAATATAGACCATCTAGACAGGGTTCCTACTCAAGCACAGATGTTTTCTGGACTGTTTATGGGGAATGATAGTGCAAAGGTCCTAAGATGAGGAATGAGATCAACACTGTGTGTACTTGGATCAGAAAGGACAACCTAGTAGGAGCATACTTAGGTGGCCAGATGACTAGTTATGCAAGGGCTAGGTCTTGTAAGCCATGGTGAGAACTTTGGGTTTTATTTTGAGTGTTTGGGGAAGCCATTCCAGAATTTCAAGCAGAAAAATTACATGATACGCCTTTGTTTAGCTAATAAACATAGAAATGTGTATCTGGTTACAGAAAGACTGATGAGGGAGCCATTGCAGTTATCCAGAGGAAAGACAGTAAAATGCTACCTAGGGAAAATAGGCAAGGATTCATAAAGAAATAATGGCATAGCAGACTCCTGAATGACAACATTTGCAACATAGTAAAGTCAGAGGTGTGTGTATATGTGTGTTTAGTAGACTAGAAATAACTTTGGATGCCTAGTTGGGTGAGTGACTAAATGGCAAGAGATAGGGCAGGTGGCTTACTGAGAAGGCCCTTAAAGGTTGAACTAGGGATTCAGTGTTACCATATTGCACAACTGCTCAATTCTGTATAGATATGCACTGAGGAGTTGTGTAAGAAGGTGGCTTGCTATGGAGTTTGGTAGTGAACCTAAGGGCCCTGGGGCAGCTAACTAAACAGGGCTTTTAATTAGGGTTAAGACTTTGGAAGCTAGCATCAAGGATGACTAGGTGGGGCAGTGCTAAGGGGGAGAAACCACAGAGGAGACAAGATACAGTAAAGCTTGAGATTAAGGTAGGGGTTGTTGAACTAGAAGTAGAGGTCTTGGGTTTAGAATGAATAGTTGAGGCTGCTAGAGTGGCTCAAGTAGTAAGAGTGCCTGCCTAGCATGCATGAGGCCCTGAGTTCAAACCCCAGTGCTGCCAAGAAATAAATAAATAGTAACAATAATAATAAGTGTTAAGAGCACTTGAGGTACAAATTGGGGAATAAAGCAAATGAGGCCCTTTAAAAAGTAGAAAATACAGCCAGTCGCAGCGGCTTAAGCCTGTAATCCTAGCTAATAGGGAAGCAGTTATCAGGAGGATTGAGTTCACAGTCAGCCCAGGTGAAAAGTCCTAAGACTCCATCTCAACCAATAAAAAGCTGGGCATGTTGGTGCACGACTGTCATCGCAACTATGTAGAACTTTTGAATGAGATCATCAGAGTCCAGACTGGCCTAGACATCAAGTGAGACCCTATCTCAAAAATAACTGTGTGGCTTAAGTGGCAGAGTGTTTGCCTAGCAATTGCAAAATAAACAATAGAAAATATTGAAACAGTGATGAAGTGTATAGAGTACATAAAATTCTCACTTTTATTCCACTCTACCAAGGTACCTTAAATGACATTTATTTTGTGTATCTTCTACTTTTCATTTTATTTTGTGTTCAAATCTGTTGTATACACACTTATACCTGCAATCAAGAAAGTTATGCTGTTATTTTGGAACTTAATTTTTTCAAATGATACAAATATAATACGGTTCTGCCTTAGTTTTTAGCTGCTACTGAGCATTTCATCGTTGGAGTGTATTGTAGTTGACTTAGGCATCACCTAGTTGATAGACCTTTAATCAGTCTCAGGGGTTTTGTTGTTATTGTTACATTTTTCAGCAATAGTGAAATTAGCACCAAACAATGCCTCATAGATCATGTGAAGTACACACAGAGTTCAGGTTTTTGTTTTGGTTTTGGTTTGGTTTTTTTGGTAGTGGGTTTGAACTAAGGGCCTACGCCTTGAACCACTCCATCAGCCCTACTTTTGTGATGGGTTTTTTCAAGATAGGGTCTCATGAACTATTTTGCCTAGGCTGGTTTCAAACTGTGATCCTCCTGATCTCTGCCTCCTGAGTATCAAGGGTTACAGATGTGAGCCACCAACACCTGGCCTGGAGTTCAGATTAGGCCTTGGCGGGATCTGTCCTTGGGGGAAACCTCTAAGGGAGTGATTAGTATGGTCAGTAGTCTGCAGACAACATTCTAAGGGCAACATTCTAAGTGGGAAAAACTGAGCCTATTTCCAGATTTTAACTGGAGCTATTCACTGTTTCCAGGTATCAGATGTTTTCTCATAGGGAGATGGAATGAGGCTTTGTGTGGAGCGCCACACACTGGCAAAGTAGGGCTACTGGGTAGAAGTGAAAACTCTACAGACAGCATCAGTTTGGGTAGGACTTTATAAAGCAGAACTTTGATGCATAGGTTGTGAGAGTAGTGGTTTTTAAATTATTGGATGTATTCAAGCTGAGGCTTAGGTGCTATGGAGGGGTACTATGTAAAGTAAATTGAATTCTAAAAATCATCAATTTTGGTTAATAGTATTCCAGTTGGAGACCGGGGGGAGACCAAGATGTGATGCTGTGGGCTGGGTAGGGGAAGGGATTGACTGAGGGTCAGTATAGGGTAGCTTGAGGCTGGAGGTATCCCAGGGAATACTTCTGGGAAACCTATAATGCTGAGTGAAGCCCAGTGAGAGAGCTGACCTTAACTGTGTACTATTAGATGCTGTTCAGGTTTATGGGCCAGGAGGGTCAGTGAGGCATCTGAGGAAGATTGTTACAGTAGAGGAGGGACTACATTGGAGTCAATGTGGTGATCCATGCAAGAGGATAGTGTTTTCAGCGGAGGAACTAGGTGTATTGGAGAAGCTTTGTGGCTGCTTGAATTGGGTCAAGAAGCCAGTCAGTTTGGAGGTGACTGGATTGGGAGTTGGGCTACATTTGGCTGGATTTCATTTAGCCAATATTATTTAGGTCCTTGGGCTGGCCTTGAACTGCGATCCTCCTGATCTCTGTTTCCTGAGTAGCTAGGATTACAGGCATGAGCCACCAGTGCCTGGCATTTAGGTCCTTAGGATAAAGGCATGAACAAAACAGTTAAATACTCCTTTCCTTAAAGTGGGGAAAGACACTAGTTGGGGAGACAAATTATATAAACAAAATAAATGTAATTTTTTAGACATTGATACATGCTAAAACAAAAAAAAAGCAAGAAAAGAGGTATGTTTAAGTGGTGATAGGGTTGAAATTTTACAGTGGCGAGGAGACACTTTTCCTACTTAACAGATAATTTTGAACAAAGACCTGAAGGAAGTGAGGGAGCATAAAGTCATGTGACTTACTTGAGGAATGGCAAACAAGGTGGCTAGAATGAGTGAGTAAGAGAATTGGTAGATCATCTTAGATCAAGATCTTTCAGGACTGTATAAGACATGGTACAGTTTGGATATTTTCTAAGTACAATAAAAAAATCATTAGAGAGTTCAGGCAGAGGTGTGACGTGACCTGACTTACATCTTAACAGAATCGTCTTGGTTGCTATGTTAAGATTAGCCTATTGGGGTAGAGATAACATGGAATAGAAGTGGGGATGATACAGGGTAAGGGAGACCAATTGAAGAGGCTATTGCTAGAAGCTAGTCAAGAAATGATAGAGGTGGGCACCAGTGGTTCACACCTGTAATCCTATTCAGGAGAATGGCAGTTTGAAGCCAACCCAGGCAAGTAGTTCTCAAGACCCTATCTTGAAAAAACCCATCACAAAAAAAAAGGGGGGGGGCCCCCTGGCAGAGTGACTCAAGCAGTAAGAGCACCTGCTAGCAAGCATGAGTTCAAATCCTAGTGCTTCCAAAAAGGAAAAAAAAAAAAATATGATGGTTTAGACTGGATAATGGCAGTGAGTTGGACTTGAGCAGTTGATTAGAGGTTAGGTGAATTGGTGGTTGTATGGATTACAACTCTACTAAAAGATATAAGGCCCCATAGTTAGGAAATCATTGGAGGAAGAGAATTTTGAAGTAGTAGACACTACTACTTGTGGAGAAAGTATTGGAATTGGCTTAGTGTCTGACCTTGGGGCGAGTAATGGATCAGAGTGAGATTCATTGGTCTCTGCAGAGATCAAGGTTGGAGTCTAGGTCTGGGAAGTACTATTGGGATTAGAATCAATATTAGAGTGAAGATTAGTTTGGGTCCAAGTAGTAGTTGGAGGCTGGTACCCCTTTTCTGTACCTTCCCATCATATGTTTTTGACCAGGATTCTAACTCAGGGTGCTGAGTTTACTCAGGGTGTTAAGGATTCTGTCTTCCTTATGTGTCCTAGAGTTGGATGCAGACTCAGCCCTGCCTGGATGAAGCCTGCTGGCCTCCAAGTTAGGACCTAGTCATGGAAGGGTGGAGAGGGACCCCTGGTGTTTGACCTAGCTCTTTTCCCCTAGATGGCCCACTGCGTGACCTTGGTTCAGCTGTCCATTTCCTGTGACCACCTCATTGATAAGGATGTCGGCTCCAAATCTGACCCACTCTGTGTCCTATTACAGGATGTGGGAGGGGGCGCCTGGACTGAGGTGAGGTGAACCTTGGAGTAACTTTAAGGTCTTAGAGGGCTAGGATTATGTGTTGGGGTGGACCGTGTCTGAGTGATGCTTTGTGGCCTCTACCTACAGCTTGGCCGGACTGAGAGAGTACAGAACTGCTCAAGTCCTGAGTTCTCCAAGACTCTGCAGGTTGAGTACCACTTTGAGACAGTCCAGAAACTACGCTTTGGAATCTATGACATAGACAACAAGACACCAGAGCTCGGGGATGATGACTTTCTAGGGGGAGCTGAGTGTTCATTAGGACAGGTATGCAGGGCCAGGAATTAGGATCCTCTGGACTATGAGACAATCTAGCCTGTCTGGAGCCAAGTGGTGGGAGGATGAGCAGGACCTAACCCCGCCTGAGATACTGAAGTCTCTCCCCATTTTGCTTTGTCCCAGATTGTGTCCAGCCAGATACTGACTTTACCCTTGATGCTGAAGCCTGGAAAACCTGCTGGGCAGGGGACAATCACAGTAAGAAAGAGCCCAGCAAGAATGGGGTGGGGGTGGGACAAGGGAGCTTACATCAATGAAAAATTCACAAAATGATACAGTTTTCCCTACCTAGGTGTCAGCTCAGGAGTTGAAGGATAGTCGTATAGTAACCATGGAGGTGGAGGCCAGAAACCTGGATAAAAAAGTACGTCTGGAAGGAGGCCCTGGGAATCAAAGAATTAAGGGGATGGGGTGGTGTATGGGGGACAGAGCACTGGCATAGTGATTGTTTCTTCCTGAGTATAGTAACGGGTCTCTGGCATCGGCAGGACTTCCTGGGAAAATCAGATCCATTCCTGGAGATCTTCCGCAAGGGTGATGGGAAATGGCACCTGGCATACAGATCTGAGGTTCGAGACCCCTGGGATTGGGTGGGTTAGGGTAAGAAAGAATCTCTTACCCTATAAGGTGACTAATAAGGTTTAAAATACAAGGAGAAAGAGTCTGCCCATGGATAGGAAAGGGTGGCAGTTCTTCATGGGCCAGCTCAGAGCTCACTGGGAAACCTTGCCCTCCACCTACAGGTAATCAAGAACAACCTGAACCCTACATGGAAGCGCTTTTCACTTCCCCTTCAGCATTTCTGTGGTGGGGACCCCAGCACACCCATCCAGGTGAAGAGCTTGTCTCCTAAGTAGACCGAGAAAGGGAAGAGTCTGGGGAGGGATTTCTCACCTGCCTCCTTTATATGTACACACACCTTCCCCACAGGTGCGCTGTTCAGACTATGACAGTGATGGGTCACATGATCTCATTGGTACCTTCCACACCAGTTTGGCCCAACTGCAAACAGTCCCGGTGAGTGTTGGTCCTGCTTGGGTGTCAAGTTGAGCCTACATTAGCTTCCACCCAGGAGAATGTGGGAGAATGCAACTCAAATCCTTAGCTAACGCCATGGGATTACTACCTAGTTCTTCTTTCCTCACCAGGCTGAGTTTGAATGCATCCACCCTGAGAAACAGCAGAAAAAGAAAAGCTACAAGAATTCCGGAACTATTTGTGTCAAGATTTGCCAAGTGAGACAATAGCCCACATGATCTGATCTCTGAAATCCATGACTCCAACCCCACTTATCACCAAGGCCTGACCCTGCACCCTGGTTTCACCTGCAGGTAGAAACAGAGTATTCCTTCCTGGACTATGTGATGGGAGGCTGCCAAATCAACTTCACTGTAAGTTGCCTTAACAGGGATAAGAAATCAGGTCTGGAGCTCAAAGTAGCCTTCACCTTTCTTCTTGACCTCCTCCCAGGTAGGTATAGACTTCACCGGCTCCAATGGAGATCCCTCATCACCTGACTCCCTGCACTACCTGAGTCCTACAGGAGTCAATGAGTACCTAACAGCATTATGGAGTGTGGGCAGTGTGGTTCAGGACTATGACTCGTGAGTAACTGGTTTTCTTGGCCATCGTCACTCCCTAAAAATGCCTCTGGGTTCATAATCCCTTCACTGCCTCTTCTTCAACTTACTGTCCTCCCACAGGGACAAGCTGTTCCCAGCATTTGGATTTGGTGCACAGGTGCCCCCTGACTGGCAGGTGAGCTTTCTCTCCACCATCCATTCTTTTTTTTTTTTTTTTTTTTTTTTGCAGTACTGGGGCTTGAACTCACCTTGAGCCACTCCACTAGCCCTATTTTTGTGAAGAGTTTTTTGAGATAGGGTCTCTCGAACTATTTGCCCAGGCTGGCTATGAACCACGATCCTCCTGATCTCTGCCTCCTGAGTAGCTACACAGATGTGAGCCACTGGTACCCAGCCTCCACCCCCACATTCTTTTTTTTTTTTGTGGCACTGGGATTTGAACTCAGGGCCTCACACTTGCTAGGCAGTGCTCTTATGGCTTGAGCCACCCACCAGCCCTCCACCCCTTATTCTTATTGTCAGTTTCTAGATCCTAATTTTGGGGGCTGTGGTGAATTTATTTGCTGCTTGGTGTATCTAGCTTTAAAGGGAGATGCAGGTATACATTCCATAGTTTGTTTTTGTTTTTTATTGTTTTTTTCATGCTGAGTATTGAATCCAGGACCTTACTCATGCTAAGCACTCACTCTGTTACCAAGCTACTCCAGTAGCCCCCATGGTGCCCTTTTTCTTAGGGTGGGAGCAAAGTGGAAGAGCCCAATTTTCATTCTTGTCCCCAGGTCTCGCATGAATTTGCCCTGAACTTCAATCCCAGTAATCCTTATTGTGCTGGTAAGTTCCCCATCCTCCAATGTGGAGCAGGTTCTGCCCGTGCCTGAGGGCCAATTCTGTTTGGGCAAAAGAGAGATGGGGGGTTGGGGGAATTCTTGCTTCCTTTGTCTAGAGAATGGAGTTAAAGCTAGCCCTCTGGAGTCAAATCATCTTGCTCCCTCTTTAACTTGACCAAGTTGCTTACCTCTATGTACTTTGGTTTCATAATAAAGCTAAAAATTATAGGATATTGAATGTTCAAGGAGAAGATTTAGTAAAGCAGTAAATTTGAAGCAGTAATCCTGGCACAGTGATTTTTAAAAAATAGCAGCTGTTAGATTATCATCATTACCTGTGCCTAGCAGCTCATAGGACTTCAGTGGAAGCCTTGGCACCTTCATGCAGGGAACTTTTTTGCCTGAGTCCCTCAAGTCTTTTTGTCTAGGGTCAAACTTTGTGACTCCCCAGCATCCCAAGGTACTGAAGTGGGAAATTTGACCTGATCTGATCTGATCTAAATTTTCTTTTGACTCTATATTTTGACATAAAGGGAGACTTAGAGAATAAGTTGCAAGAATAATCACAGGGGGTAGAGTCACTGGATGTGTGTGTGTGTGCATGTGTATGTTGATTTTTTAAAAATCTTTTCTTCCTGAAATGTTTGAGAATGTAGAGAATAGCCTGGTCCCCACCAATTTTATACCCAATATCATCCTCATGGCCTTTTACCCCTAAATACTTCCATTGTGTGTCCTAAAATCAAAGACATTCTCTTACATAACCAAAGTGCAATTCTCAAAGTCAATAAATTAACATAATACAGTAGTATAATCCAATCGATAATTTATTCAGATTTTACCAGTTGTCCTAATGACTTAAAACAAAAGGAAATCTCATCACACAATGCATTCAAGTATATCTTCTCATCTGTAATTCTTCATGCCTTTCATGATATTACTATTTTTGAGGAGTACGTGGCCAGATAATTTCTACAATGTCCCGTGTTTTAGTTTACTTGAAATAGATTCAGTTTTTACATTTTTGGTAGTACCACCAAAGTGATGTCATATAGTCTCAGTATATCATTAGGAGATACAGGATGCTGATTTGTACTATTAGCAGTCATGTTAACTTTGACCATATGGTTAAAGTAAGGTTTATCAGATTTCTCTAATACACAAGTATTGTTTATCCCTTTGTAATTAATATCTTTTGAGAAGAAACTTTCAAGCTATATAAATAATCCAGTTCATCAGTTTTATCATTTACATTTAAAATCCACTGATGATCCTTGCCTGAGTCAGTTATTTCTGATTGTCAATTTTGTAATTCCTCCTTTAATATTAAAAGCTTTCCCTTCCCAGAATACCTATATGAATATAGATGTATTACATGTATGTATATGTAATACATACATAGTACATGTGTATAATATATAGTGTGTGTATGTGTGATGGAAGTGGGTTTTGACCTCATGGCTTCACACTTGCAAAGCAGGGACTCTTAACTCTACCACTTGAGCCACACCTCCAGTCCATTTTGCTCTGGTTATTTTGGAGATGAGGTCTTAAACTATTTGCCTGGGCTGGCCTCAAACCTCAATTCTCCCAATCTCGGCCTTCCAAGTAGCTAGAATTACAGGCGTGAGCCACTGGCACCTGGCCTTATGCAGATTATTAAATGGGGTGTAATTCATTATTTTATTAAATGGGTTATAATATGATGTCCACATTATCCAGGGAATCACCTTAATCTGTGTTTTAACTCAATCTGTTATTTAGACCAAGTCCCCTTTTCTCCTTAAGCCTTAGTTTCCTCAGTGAATGAAATGCTTCCAAGTTTCCCAGTCTTCTGGGCCAGGATGGGGTGATTTCAAGTCTAATCTAATCCTGAGAGGTCCAGTATTTTACAGTGTTTTTACCATTCTTCTCTGCAGGCATCCAGGGCATTGTGGATGCCTATCGCCAAGCCCTACCCCAAGTTCGCCTCTATGGGCCAACCAACTTTGCACCCATTATCAACCATGTGGCCAGGTTTGCAGCCCAGGCTGTACATCAGGGGACTTCCTCGGTAAGTGTTGTGGGTAGCAGTGGCAATGAGGGCTGTGTAACAAGGGACTTATTGTCAGAATGGGAATGTGTGACTGGGGCGTTTGGAGGTGTCTAGGAAAGAAGATCTGCCTCAGTATACAAATGGGCTTGTCCCCAGCAATACTTCGTGCTGTTGCTGTTGACCGATGGTGCTGTGACAGATGTGGAGGCCACACGTGAAGCTGTTGTGCATGCTTCAAAGCTGCCCATGTCAGTGATCATTGTAGGTGTGGGCGGTGCTGACTTCCAGGCCATGGAACAGCTGGACGCTGATGGTGGGCCTCTGCGTACACGCTCTGGGGAGGTAGCTGCCCGTGACATAGTACAGTTTGTGCCTTATCGCCAGTTCCAAAATGTGAGTTGGGACAAGTTTCAGGGCAGACCAGATCTGGGAGTTTACTTTTTCACCTGTCCTTAGTCTGAATGGGGTTAAGGCCCAAGAAATACTAGCCCTGTCATTAAAGACTAGGGCAGGTTGGGTGTGGGGTTTTTTGGGAATGAGATATAGAACTTAGGAAACTCTTATGGGTCCCTGATGACCTTGTCCTTCTCCTTGTAGGCTCCTCGAGAGGCATTAGCACAGACTGTGCTTGCAGAAGTACCCACACAGCTGGTCTCCTACTTCAAGGCTCAAGGTTGGGCCCCACTCAAAGTACCTCCAGCACCAGCCAAGGGCCCTTCACAGGCCCCCTAGGTCTAGGTTCTGTAGACTGTGGCCAGTCCTCAGCCTTTTGCTCCCAAGATTCTCTGGACCATGGACCAAACCTGCACACACTCCCCAGTGCTAGCACTTTATATTTGATACTTTTATACTATTGCTATTGCTGCTTTTGATCTACCTGCTTTTCCCCAGTACCCCTCATTCAATAAAGACAATTGCTGTGCCACTACTTTTGTGTATTTGTGGGTGGCTGTTGTTAGCTATGTTTACTTTGTTTCTCTAAGCTTCAGTTTGTTGAGTGAAATAGCCCCACCCAAACAAATTGAGTATTCCTGGTCGGATATGTATTCATTCTAGACACACTGACTCTACTTTTTGAAAATACAAAGTTTAAAAGTAAGCAAACACCTACCCTTCCCTTCCTCAGGTAGAACTGAGCTGGGAACACAGACAAGGTGGAAAAGTGTTAGACCTCATAATAGGCTGTAGAGCATAAGGGAGGGATGAGTCTAAGGGTGCAGTAAGGGCTATGCTAGACTTCCTGGGGTAGGAGCAATGGTAGTTATGGTCCTAAGGATAGGCTACAATCTGGGGTTTGAACTCAGGGCCTCATGCTTGCTTGGCAGATGCTCTACCACTTGAGTCACTCTGCCAGCCCTTTTTTGTGTTAGATATTTTTGAGATAGGGTCTCAAAAACTGTTTGCCTCAGCTGGCTTCAAAACACAATCATCCTGATCTCTGACTCCTGATTAGCTTAGATTACAGGTGTAAGCCGCTGGCCCCTGACTCTTAAATATTTTTTTTTTTTAAAAAGATGGTCTCCCTACATAGACCAGGCTGTCCTTGAACTCTCCTGCTTTAGCCTGACAGGTGCATTAGAGATTATATATAGTAGAAAAAAAATTTTTGGCAGTACTGGGGTTTGAACTCAGAGCCTCACGCTTACTAGGCAAGCACTCTACCACTTGAGCCACTCTGCCCTTTTTTGCATTGGGTATTTTTGAGATAGGGTCTCAAGAAGTATTTGTCCGAGCTGGCCTTGAACCTCGATCCTTCTGCTCTCTGCCTCCCACGTAGCTAGTATTATTAGCGTGAGCCACTAGTGTCTAGCTAGAAAAATTTTTTGAGTATTGCCTTATTGCCCAGGCTGGACTTGAACACTTGGACCTTGAGAGCTTGTTTGGAGGTTCTAGCAGGGGAGCGCAGCTACTCGTATACCCTTGACCGAAGAATGGTCCTCCTCTATCGGGGATGGTCGTCCTC